GTGATTTTTCTGAGCTAATGAGCTTTAGTGTAGAGTTCCTGATAAAACTAATAAAACTCAATGTGTTACTGATTCCTGTAATGTCAGCATTAAAAAGTTAAGATTTCTGGTGATGCCTATATTTTAAGCCCAAGAATGAATCTAATGGTGGGATTCTAAGCACAGTGAGAAACTGGTAGAGAAAATAAAGGTTCTGTGGGAGCTGGAGTATCTGATATGCTACAAATCAGGCATGAGGGAGGCTGAGCTGGTCCTGGTCTTCCCCCTGGATTCCTTACCTTCCTATTTAACAGGAACTGATTGAACAAAGAATTCACCTCCAAATGGGAGCCTATCAACTCCATTCAGCTATCCCCTAGGTTTGTTACAACTACTGAATAACTCTAGCCAACTGTGAGTCCAGTATTCAAGGCGTTTTAGCGGCTCCAGGAGCCCAGGAATTAACTCAAACTGAGGGCACGCCTGGGGTGGGAGTGACTCCCCATCGGCACCAGTACTTTGCAGCACCTTGTAAAGTCCTGGAACCGCACACTCTTGCGTCCTCCACCCACCAACCCCGGCGCCAAATCTGGAAATCTGTGATCACAGGATGGGATGGTGGCAGGGAAACATGGGTTTAAAAAAGTTTTCTAGGCAATTCCGATACACATGCCTGACTTCTCCAACGGATAATCACTGATCAGTTGTATAAGTTTTATTATTGCCCATGAAGCTTTTATACACAATTCAAGGGTGGCTACACTGTTATTACTGAAATGAGACATATCATAAAAGTACAAGTTTTCTTTCACATATGTGAAATGTTATTTTATACCTCAATTTGATCCATGCATGATTTGAGAAATACAAGTTCTCAACCAAAACATAGGTCCAAGCATGCAAAATCAACAGCTATTCTAATTTTTAATTTTGAAAATCTCTTGAACTTTACTGGCGACTCTTTTAACCCTGCACCGTTTCAAAGGAAAACACAAATTGAAGACAGCTACATTTATTAAACATTTCTTCATCAGTATGAACATCGACAATGCACTGAACATTGCCAGCAAACAGCCTGCTGGGATTGGGGCAATCATTTATTTTCGCTCAAAATTCCCAGTAAGGTTTGAAAATATGTACTTCTGCCAGTTTAACCTTGGTTTCTGTGATTAAATTAGAACAACTGAAGTAAATAAACCAAACCAAATCTTTTGAATTTCAGTTGTTTACAAGGTACCTCATTGACAGGAAACAAGCCTTTCTAAAGTAGAGATTGTGGCAAATTTTTACAGGACAATAAAAACCATTTTCCCCTTTACATTATAAAAACAATGTTACCACATAGAGAGGGGAAGATTAAATTCACCCATAATCTCACCACCCTAATGTGTTATCTTTTAATCTCTATCCACAAACATGATTTCTACATAGTTGTAACTTGTGTATTTACACAATTTTGATAAAATCACTATTTAAATCCTCATATACAGGACTGTATGTATACTCTTTAAGAAAATTATACAGTGTAAAACCTACAAAACGCAATATGTCCATCAATCCCAAGATACCCAAGAGCTTCAATCTTCCAGACCAAACTACAACTGCGTTTCTTTCCTTCTGCGCTGGAGCATATTAACTATGACAAGGCTAACATTGGTCTGAGTTCACCATCTGTAAAATAGCATAGGTAAAACACTGCTATAAATTTTTAAAGTTATCTACATCGTTTAGCACATTTTCTTTGTGCAATCTTTATAAAACCTTAAAATTACATCTTAATTATCTCCATACTAATTGAATCAATAATCTTCAATCATTCTTAATTATCATTCCACTTTTCTTGAGCTTGTTTTTTAGGCAAAGTGGTTAATACACATGAGAAATAAAGGGCATCTGCACCCAAGTACACTTTCCACACCAAAGGAGCAAGCAGCACTATTTAGGTAGAGTAGGTTCTGTGATGGCAGAAATACCAGCCTGGGTTTAGCAGATGTCGTCTGTGTGATCTTGAGCCAATCATTTTGTCCCCTTGCACTTCAGGTACTTTACTGTAAAATGTAAAATGAATACTTGCATTCTATCTCTTTGGGGATATCATTGCAAAAACTAGAATATAAGTAAAGCATTTTAAAATCCTCAGATGAAAGGTACAACATTTTTTAAAGATTTCATTTTTATTAGGATTGATTGACAAATATAACTTATTATTAACCTGTATACTAAAAGTTCTCTGTATCATTCTGGTTAAAAAGTAACAGATGAGTTCCCATTTTCAATGTTTCAAGAACAGGTCTGGAGAGCGCGCTGAACTGGTTTCATTTGGTGACACACTGACATCTAGTGGAGATCTATGGTGTGCTATGGAATACCATACACCCCACAATAACTCCACAGTTCTGGTGGGGGCAAAGAGAAGCCAAAGCACCTTTTGGTCTTTATGCGAAGCATCAAGAAAATATACAAATGAATTAAAAAACAAAGGTACACTTCCTGTATATTTAAGTTTTCCCATGTTCAATTAAAAATACCGGCCAATTCTCAAGACATTTAATCAGAAGTTGTGGGATGATGTGCGGTGGGTAGCAACAAGCTTCTCAGCACTGTAGCTTTGGGAGATGCCAGAAAACCTCCCTCTGATTCAGAGTTTAAAGGAACAACGTAACGATGTGCTCAGCTGCTCTTCTTTTCCTACAACCATGGCAAGCAAAGCTGGCGGGGGCGGGGGGGGGGGGGGGGGCGATGGGGAAGAAGACAAGGCAGGGGAAGGGAGGGAAGGGAAGGAAAATGTGTGGGAAGTAAGTTTTCTAGGTTTTTCATTACATCCCGTGAGTTAAATTTTGTACCTCTTTGTGGCTAGAATTTTATTAAATCCAGAGGGAGAGTTTCTTTAAGCAAATGTATGTGTAACCTTTCTGGCATATCACGAAACATTTATCTAAACCTGCTCACGCAGTACACTGCATTTACTCTGGAATAAAAATATAAAATAAAATGTTTCTACGATTACACTTAGCTTTCACAAACGTCTAGCACCATCATTAAAGTGTGGCTCTGTGTTTCCTCTTCATCCCTTCCAAAGACTACGAGAAGCATAGCTGAGTGGCCTTGGGAGGAAGTAAATCTGACACTCACATTTTTAACACGTGACTATTTAAATTAAGATAAACAAATATTCACTGGAAGATTGTCACAGTCACATCAGATCTGCTTCAGTACCGATTTAATTTAAATTTTGCCTCCCCACTTCCCCACCCCCTTTAGTGAAAGTGGGCAGGTCTGAGTGCAGCTGGTCTACTGGATCCACACCTGCCTGCTTCCTTGTTTCCTACCGAGCTCCAACCACTGGATGAGGCTTCTTGACACCACTGTTTAATGGCTTCGTTATTCCAGTGAACAGGAAAGTTTGAAGAGGATGAATTCTGGAAGCTGGAATAAAGAATTTGTTTTATACTGCTGTGTGCTTAGCCTCTGGTTCTGGCAGACCCTTCCACCACACCTCTTCTGGAGGAAAAAAAAAAAAAAGAGAAAGAAGAAAAAAAAGAAAGAAAGTGAAAACATCTTACTGTTGGTCTGGAGGAAACATGGGATTAAAAGAAACCTCAAGGATTAGGAAAGTGTGATTTTTCTCTAGAGAAGAACGTGCATGAGTTTGTTCCCACCACACCCAGAATGAGTCTAAATTCTTTAATTCCTTCAGTCTTTCATTTTTGTCTGGGAATCAGAAGAATCATCTAGAAATGATTAGACCAGACCAGCTCTCAAATGTAAAATCTAGAAGAATCTTACAGCATCTACATTGCTTAATTATAATCAAACACTCTGAAACAGATATGTATCCATTATTGGTCTGTTAAATTTAAAAAAAAGAAATATACTCACTTATGTCCTTCTTGGCAATTAAGAGTAAACTCCAATCTTCAGAGCCCAGAGACAAAAACAAACAAACAAAAAACAACAAAAAAAGATGCGACACAACCTATTAGCACAAGCAAAAACAACGTTCTAACAGTGAAGCTTCATGCTGTACTCAAAAATATAATTATCCATACAATTTGCAATTGTATTGTTTTACTGCTTAAAGTCTCTCCAGACACTTTACACTGCTCAGTGTTTTACTACTAAACAAAATTCTCCCATCATTTTCCCCAACATTTCTGCAGTGTTGTTCATTGTTTTTTGTTCAGTTATATAATTGAGGAAAGTCAGGCCCAGAGAAGTTAAAAAAAAAAATCCACTGACAGAATAAGACAGTACATAAGAAATTTGAAAGCTTAGTTACTCTACCACAGGCTGGTGTTTAATTAAACTATTTTGACCCTAGAGTTCAGAATCTGAAGACCCAGGAGTTAGAGTTGAAATAACTACTATTGCAGTCTTTTACTCATGAAGTACCTATTGTGGATACATCAATGACCTTTAATTACCCTAAGTGATAATACAACTAAAATTTAAAAGTTGTGATCTCTCTATTCATTTCTTTCAAGACAAAGTGTCAAAATATGTCAGGTGGCAACTCTTGGTAATTAGTTTTCATATATGTGTAATAAATACTTTATTTGAAGGTAACGTTTTATTTTGGAAATGATGATTTTAAAGATTCCTGGGCAGGACCTGGACTTAAGAGCTAAGGTTACTATCCCTACTGTGTTAAATAAGCAGATTGCAGTGATTTTCAGAGAAGCCGTGAGTCCTTTGGGTGTAAATGTGTCCTCCTAAGTCACTCTTCTAGTTCCGTTGTCCCAGGTATGCCACTACACAGTAGACAGGAACTGAGTCTTCCAGACATGTTCCAGACAACTTCCAGACAAGTTGTAGATGCTAAAGAAGCGGTGACTCTGAAGTTCAGTCCATGGGTGTGTTATATGAAATGAATCTAGAGAAGTGGTCAGAGTACCTGTGCACAATATATCACTGTCAGAAAAAGAATTTACAGTAACATTACAGAATCAATAGTAATACAGAATGCCCCAGTCTTTGTGATCTTGGCTTCTCTGGAAATGTAGAAAAAATAGAAACAGGTCTGACTTACAGAATCCGAGGAAACTTTTTATTGATCTCTTTATCTTTCCAGAATTAGGAGAGCAGGCAATACAGTATCTTTAACCCCAGCTCAAAGGAGTAAACCTTTTCCCAAAGCTTAAATGGGATGGACGTTTTCTCCACATCACAGTGCCCTGTCCTAAATCAACCATCAACATCCTCCGTCAACAAACAGAACCCACAACCAAGTGCAGAAGGACGATGCTTTTGCTGTTTCTCTTCAGATGTCCCCACTGGAGGGTTCTCAGGTTGTGGGCTTTTGGCATCCTAACACCCAGTCTTCCCCTAATGATAACCACAGAATTACATAAATCCTACTTTGAAAATACACGGAGAGAAAATACATTTCCGGCAAATCACTAGGAAAGCTCTAACAAGCTGCAAATAAGGAAGACTACAAAACGATTTCTAATTTAAGTAACAAAATACACGGCTTTAGAGATGCTATTTATTGCAATCTTCCAGCCAGGCCTTAAATAACGAAATGGCTGTCTTAGCAAGGTGCCTGAGGAGAGGTATTAACCAGGGGAGTCAAATGAAACTGAGGAGAGACAATCAACGTGAGACCTAAAAACCTCTGCTCCTTTAGACTCACTTCAACATTTGCAAACCCTCCCCTTTGATGTCAACTCTCCTTACCCTAACAGTTAACTTTAAACCTGGAAAGTTTTGTGCCCATGTTTAAATGTGGCCGAATACTCGTTAATCTTTCTAGAAACATATCACTATCATGAAAATAAAAACAAGTGGTACCATACGCCAAACTGATACACAGTGCTCATCCACTGATTATGTACTTGCCTACACTTGGAATGTCATTTTATGAAGGCGCTTACGTATAGTTAGTAAGTAAGCTAAAACACTTCCAAATATTCAAATCCAGCAAAAAAAAAAAAAAAAAAAAGCACAAAGTTGCCCACTCATCACTGAATTATTCTGGATTGAACAGAAGGCTAAATTTCAGCACTGCCAAATGCTATTAGGCACAGAAGCAATGCACCATCTGTCTTGAAGTAACAAGTATATCAATTCAGATATAAAATACTGGTGTGCCAAGCAAAGTATCTTAAGCAATCTATTTTCTGATGCTTGAAACTTAACACAGCCAGCAACAAGGTTATATGCATCAATACTTTGAACTGCTAGTAGTAAAAGAAATTATAAAAGTGTCTGAACATCAAAGAGTTGTAGTCAGTCCTATGAGCAGGAAGGCCTTGAAGAAGAGTCAGAAGATTAAGGAAGTTTTCTCAATGAGTCACTATTGCTATTTCTCTGAGAAAATATTTTTAAGTGATAGATAGAACGGCTGCCATTGGCCAGAATGACTCTGGTATTTTACTGAAAACCAGTGCATCTGAACCTACTACTGAAATAGATGCTGCTTCATCATATGGGGGCGTACTGATGTCATGACAGAAAGCTGGGCTTCTAAGGAGTTTGGACTGGACTCTGAAAACAGTGGGCAGCCACTGAAGTCTGTGAGCAAGGAGTGTGCTTACTCTGGGAAGATTAATGTGACCTCAGCATGAAGAAAAGATTGGAGTCCTTTGTATAGACAAGAGGGTGACTTAAAAGACTCCTGCAGATAAGGGCCTGAATTAGACCTAGGACTGAAAAATCTGAGAACAGAATCCAAACATGCTATCCTTCAGAAATAAGGTGAAAAGCCAGCAACTGTTAGCCTGTATAAGTGTGAGAGATAGTCTAAAGAATATTATTATGATTAATTTAGGTTAAGAAAGAAGAGTCATACCCTATTTAAGTTCAGATAATTAGTTGGGTATAAATGTGCAATAATCACACAGCAAAAGTACTGTTCAGCAAGACTCAATCAGGAAAAAAGCTGACTAAGTATTTCTTAATTCCTGGCTCTCTAGGCAAAATTAAGTGGTTGAGCCAACTGTGACGTTTCGGGTCTGTCACTGACCAGGTTTTCACAGAAAATAAGCTACGAAGTGCCCCATTTCTTAACGTATGAACCTTGGAAGCAGGAAGTCAGGACAGGAGCAGGGAAAGAGAAACACAATAGAAGGTATGAGTCCTGGTCCTTAGCTCACTGCCCCATGGGTTCTCTGGAAATGAAACTTGCCCTTCAAATTCCCTACTTCCTGAGTAAGGTCAAGGGACAGAAGGCCTGGAACTGGAAGTGTCTTCCCATGGAACCAGGGGTAGAAGTCAGGGTAATAGGAGTTGGCATCTCTGCATCCTTCTCTCACTACTACGTTACAAAGTAGACCTGGGGTAAACACTGCTCTATTTTCTAGAATCATCTGAATGGGCAAGAAAGGATTTTTGATAAGCCATTTTCCTGAGAGCTCTCTGTGCTTACCTAGGCCATCTCTTTTCCTGGCTAGACTTTGATGAGCTCTTTGGGAAATATAAGTTTCTCCACTTCCAGCATGTAAAGCAGCATTAGTTATAAATACTTAAATTTGTTGATTTAAAAATTTAAATCTAGTTAAGTTTGGTGTCAAGGTAGATTCCTCAATGACGAGGAAAATCACTTCAAGGAAAGAAAATATTAAGGTGCTCAAGATTCAAGTCAGCTAATATTTGCTAACCATACTTGCTGAAGAACAGCCATTCCAGACACTAGGGGAATTTTAATTACTTGTTCATGATTAACATGTAACTATAAAATCAAAGGCCCATCTAGCTAAACAATTCACTTAACCATTCATTTATTCTCTCGACAATAAATGACCACTCTCCTGGGCACAGAGGAGTCACACAGACACATGAGGTCTGGTCCCCCCATCCTCCCTTTCGGCCAATAACCACTTCCTACTTCGCGGAGGAGTAGAAGCCACAAGAAAGCTTCCCACTACCACATCTACCCTCCAGCCTGGACCTAGCCCCTTGCCCTCTGCTTGTTCTGTTAACTAGGGATGGGATGAGATGTTGCATTCCCAGAAAAGGACAATCACTTCACTTGTGTGCTACATCCCATCTTCTCCTGCCTAACTAGTAGAGCTCAAGTTTCGTGAAGGTCAGTACTGCTTTAAGTGGGGATACTGTGCTTCCCAAGAGCTCCTAGTCTATTCAGGAAGAGAAAGAAATGTCCAAGGGAAGTGCAGGGAGTTTTGGAAACACCCCCAGTAAAGCACAAATGATTTTCTCGAGGACATTGCTTCTCTGCCCTACTCATCTGTTTCTCCCTCTCTGTTTATTTTTCCCAACAACATACGGTATAATTGTCCCCCATCTTAAAAAAAGAAAACTACTATTTCTCTATTGCAAAACTGTCAGAAGTCTACAGTTTCTATTACCTTTGGCACCTACTCCAACAGAGCTTTTGATCTCGCCACTCCAACAAAACGATGCTTGCCATCAGTCAGTTGCTAAATAAAATGGCCATTCCGGTCCACATCTGCACCTTAGGTGGCTCATCAGTCGCATCTGAAGCTGTAGATCATTTCCACCTCCGTGAAACTTTTCACCTCGTTTTCAGGTCCCCACGCTCTCCAAGGCTTCTCCTTTTTACTTCCTGATTGCTCCTTCCTGGGTTCCTTTGCTGATTCCTCGTGTCTGTCCTCAGCTTCTTAATGTTGGAGTGCCCAGACTTCTTCCTTCTCTAGCAGCACTCATTTCCTTGATGATCTCATCCAGTCCCACAGCTGTAAATATCACCTATCCACTCATGAATCCCAAATGTTGTGCCTGGCCCAGAACTCACTCCTGAATTCCAGGTCCGGATGTCCACTGCTCTGACGCCTCCATCTGGATGCTTAACAGGCACTTCCAACTTAACCTGTCAAAAGCGAGGCTCTTCATCTGTCTCCAGTCCTGCTGAACGCCATCACCCCCCACCCGCCGCCCCCAGGTTCCTCACCTTAATTAACTACAACTCCAGGCTTCTAGTTTGCTCAGGTGCCAAACTTTGACTCCTTTTTACACCACATAGTTAGATCTATGAGCAAATCTTATTGGCTACCTTGAACCAGAATCTGATCGTTTCTTACCATCTACACTAATGCCATCCAGGTTGGAGTCATCAGTATCTCTAGCCTGGCTCCCTCTCCCCTCCCCCACCAAGTCTTTTTCCTAATGGTAATCAGAAATTCTCAAACAGGTCATAAACCTATCATTCTTTGGCTAAAAAACCCTCCGGTGCCTTCCATCTTACTTAGAGTACTACCCAAACTCCTCACAAGGCACTCCACACACTACGCGGCCCTATGTGACCTGTTCAGCTGTCATCTTCTTGACTTTGCCTCTTGCTGTTCTAGTTGCTGCTTCCTCTGCCCCACCTTCTCCGGGCCCCTGCTGGTTTCGGCAAACACTGAGCATGCCCCTGGCCCCCAGGTCTTTTCATTTGCTATTTCCTTTGCCTGCAATTCTCTTATCCCTCACCATCTTCAGCTCTTGACTCATCTTTTTGGTGAGGTCTTCTCTGATTACCCTTTCACAACTGCACTGCAACCTCCCCTTTCTCCCTCTCAGCACACTCCCTATTTCTCTTCCCCGTTTTGTTTTTGACATAGCACTTACCGTCATACATATACACTTTTCCCCCCTTTTTAAACTTTGTCGCCTTGAACTGGAAAGTAAACACCCTAAGGATAGGGATTTTTGTGTGGTTTGTTCACTGCTAATCCTAAGTATCTAAACCAATGTTAGTGAAATGAATTGGATCCCTGATTTCTAGGGGCTCGTGATCAAGGGAGGTGCCAATACAAATAAAAGGTGTCATTAAAAAAATTACAAGGGGTAAGACAGGAATAAAGACACAGACCTACTGGAGAACGGACTTGAGGATATGGGGAAGGGGAAGGGGAAGGGTAAGCTGTGACAGGGCGAGAGAGAGTCATGGACATATACACACTAACAAACGTAAGGTAGATAGCTAGTGGGAAGCAGCCGCATGGCACAGGGATATCGGCTGGGTGCTTTGTGACCGCCTGGAGGGGTGGGATAGGGAGGGTGGGAGGGAGGGAGACGCAAGAGGGAAGAGATATGGGAACATCTGTATATGTATAACTGATTCACTTTGTTATAAAGCAGAAACTAACACACCATTGTAAAGCAATTATACCCCAATAAAGATGTTAAAAAAAAAATTACAGAAGAAAAAACTGTCCCACATGAATACTTAAAATGACCTTTACCATTTGGGAATTGTGTGGCCAGGGAAAGAGTTCAGCAGAGGGCTAATGTGCTCCTAAAAAACGATAAAGGAATCAGGCAAGGGGTGCCAGCAATATCCCTGAAATACAGCTTTACTCCCTCACCTTGTGTTTCTTATAATTACTCTTCTTCATCACTAGGGAGATGAAGGAATGACATGCTCATATAAAGACTTGTCATAAAGCACTCCGGTCTCAGTCCTAGAGAATCTTTAACGCTCCTTACACACTTGCCCCCGAGTATCAGGACCTCTCTTGGTGACCAACAATGCTCAGTAACCTGTTCTCCATGGGTTTATCTCTCTCCCCTCTCAGTGTGAGATGGGCCTGGAGCAGTAAGCAGCCAACATACCTGAATTTGCTTAGCCAACTTACGAAATACTCACGTTACAATGAGAAGGCGGAATTACACTTCTGGAATTAGGGAGCTTTTACCCTGTCACCTTTCAATTACACCTACTGGCTCAGGAATAACGGGGCAATAAAGAAAAAAAGTGACCTGTTTGGTTCTTTGTCCTATTCTATCTCCCTTTCTCACAGAAGATAGAAGTGGGAAAGAAAAACCAAATGAAGAGATTTGGATAATATTTCAATGACTAACTTTCAACACTCCAGGACTGCCCCCCCTTTGTACTACTATACAGTACAGTATACTTGTTCCTCTTCCCTAAAATATTTCTCTTAAAATAAATTTTTTCAAAAGCTACCACTTTTCATTTTTCCTATCAGATACCCCTAAAAGAATACTGTAAGCAGACACATATATTCCATTGTCTTCTTCCTTTTTACCAGTAAAAAGGAATAGGAGAAATATATCAATTAAGACAGTAATGATAATGGGAAATGATGTACATTTTGTAGGACAGAAAGCATTTTGGTATATTTAAGGACTTTTAAAATTACAAGATTCATTCTCCATTTAAAACAAGTAGGCATTAAGTAGGTTATGAAAATAACCCATTGCTACTTCTCACATTTCAAGTTTACAGGAATATCACCTACCAAGTATAAAGCACTGAATCAGTATGATAGGGGATTAAAGAAGACATGACTTATATGCTTTACATGGTCCCTGGATAACCTTATGGAGAAGATTACACCCATGATATAATATTCATTCTTTCAGCAAACGTGTATCATGTTATATACTGGGCTAAGATACAGAGACAAGGACTATAGATATTATTCTCCAAAAGCTCACTATCCAGAAGTATGCATAAAGTGTTAAACTGAATATAATAAAGTATCAAAATGCACGCTAGAGATATTGGATATTCAGAGTAGTTGGAAAGACAGTAATTATTTTCAAAGCATCAAATAGTATTAAGAATGTTTAACATCATATAGATTAGATAAAACTTACCTAATTATTATACTAATATTTTCATAGCTAAATCAGCAGGGACATCTGTTTGATTTCTCATTCAGTAGAAAATGGATACACATTAGCAAAGATGTGTTCTCCTCTGCTAACAAGAGGGAAAAATCTATTTGGACAGGAAAAAAACTATTTAAGAATGTATTCATCTCTGCATGCATCACAGTGCCTGAAATGACCTTCAATTAGCAAACTCTTAAAATTTGTAGAATAAACTCACCATGGAGGTCAGTTAAGGTGGTATATAGTATAACCACCCTCCCCCCTCCACCTCTTCCATCCAAAAGAAAAAAGGAAAGAAAAAAGAATTCTTGCCCAGAAGGGCACCTGGCTTGTTTGATCACACTTGGAAATATGTACATGCTTGAATTGCTTCTATTATTTCCGATGTTTGTACAGATGGTGTCTCAAGAGAAACAGAGAGACTGACAGACTGAAGGTACATGATAGTAAAATGGAAAGGTTTCATTAAAAGAGCTGGACTTGAGATAAACTTTAGGAATTGGAAGATTTTGGGGAAAAACTGCTTTTAATGTTCTATGTTAAAAAGACCCGCATAATTGGCTTTAGCCTCACTGGATTTCAGCAAGGTAACCTACAGATACAAAAGATTTAAAGTCAATTTATAGTTCTCTAAATGCACTCATTGGTAATATCTAGGTTGATTCTGTCTGACAAGGTTTTAACACCACTTATCCACACCAGTCCTAGAAATTCAATTCATAACCACTTTGAAAGGACTATCATTCCACTGTGTAGAAACATCCCATTACGCACTGAAGCGGTTCACTTAAATCGCTGAAGAACCTTACCAAAAAAAAGGTTAACAAACTAGTTACAAATAATTGTTATTTCAAATAATGCCTATCTACTAAAATGTAATTATGAATTATTTTTTATTATTTCGGTATTACTTGAAAAAACTTATTACTTGAAACATGAAACAAGGGATTTATTTACATATTCTATTCATCTAATGTAAGAAACACTAACTGAAATATAAGTGGATAATTATTGTAGAATCATTAGCTCAACCCCTTCAAATCATTTGCAATGGTTTTATGAAAATTATTAATGCTTCAAATCATGCCATGATTCTGTCCAAAGACCACAGTATGTCAGCTGAAGACGTGCAAATGTACTGCATTAACATGACTAGGACACAGGTTACTATGTGATGCCACAGGACTGAAACTAACTTGAGCTTTACAACGCAGTCATTCTTGTATTGCCGTAAGAACACACATGGGCAAGTAGAGGACTGACTCCAAGTACACAGCACCTCCACGTCCTTATTAGAAAGACTTAACATACACACGGGCCAAATCAAACCTACGAATTTTATCCCTGTGACACGTTAGGATATCCTAGTTTAGGAGAAAAAAAAAAAAGGCAATGTCTAGATAACTAATGTATCTTATTTTGAAAAAGGTCATCATTAAATGATTGATAAATTTATCAATATATATCTTCTGATGTGGTCATGTGATGCACGGTTAAATAAATTTAAAATAACATCGTTTATCTCATTTTCCAAATTAAAAAAGGGAAGCCAGTGATATTATAAGTATTATGACCAATGTCTGAGACAGAAGATAAGTAAACATACCTCGTATTCATTGGAATCAATTAGTAAAGGCTTATTTTGTAAGGTTCCATTTGAGACTAAAATAGAAGATTAAAATAAGGATTGACTAAAATGCAAAATTGTACTTTACCTTATAGATTACCTTTCAGAAGGTTTCTAATTTATGTATACCCGCTTTTACATATAAACATATATATATTAAATACTAACTGTAATGCTATCAACAAAAACTCTTAGCCTAGTGGTAAAGAATGGGGGCTGTACTTCCGCATCATACTGGTTGTGTAATCTGCATCCAGCTATTTAACCTGTCCGTGAATCAGTTCTATTCTGTCAAC